AACTCTATTCATTTGCTCGGCCTGTCCGTTGGCTTCGGGATGATTCCCTGAAGTCATCTGAAGTTGACTGCCCATCTGCTCAACAGTCTTCTTCCACAACTCACTTGTGAAATGGACATCTTTGTCACTAACGATTGTCTTTGGTAAACCAAAGTCACGCACCCAGTTGTCCTGGAACAACTTGATGACATGGTCCGTCCTTGCGGTCTCTAGCATGGCAACTAGTCTAGCGTACTTGGTGAATCGATCAATGATGACCATGATGTGCCTCTTGCCACTCTTGCTGGTCACCAGGGTATCCATGAAATCCATGAAAACACTCTGTCCTGGACCAGCGGGGATAGGTAAGGGCTTCAGCAACCCAAGCGGTGCTTGAGTTCGCGGTTTGTCCCGCTGACAGACCTGACAGGTCTCTACATACTTCTTCGCGTCATCTAGCATTCTAGGCCACCAAAATCGTTGTACTAGATTAGCACTCGTCTTTTTGTAACCAAAGTGTCCGGTTGCGTCATGGCATTCTCATAAAAACAAACTACGCAAACGTTCACTAGATGGAACTACTAGCCTTTTAACACCGGCTTTATCAAGATAGAGTAGCCTGTCCACCATCACAAACTCACTTTCCGTGGCCTTGTCTTTTGCCTGAAGTTTGCGCATGATGTCCATCGTAACAGGGTCTTCCTGATAGGCTCCCACCAATGATTGAGTTACTTCTTCAGATACACTAAAGTCAGAAACTAGCGCACCTAGGTAGTCTGCCCTACGTGATAGCGCATCTGCAACCTTGTTGTACTCTCCCTTCAGATACTCAAGCTTGAAGTCATATTGGTCTATGACTTCAATCCATCGCTTGAGTGCGTCAGAAAGAGTCGGTTGAGTCTTGATCCATTTGAGGGTCTGATAATCAGTCCTCAAGTAGAAGAACCTTCCCAATAGGAAGTGTCTCCAATGGACAAGTGCCTTGTAGAGAGCATAGGATTCCCTTTCGTAGGTGGGCTTTGCCAATTTCTTCGACGGCATCTTCTTGCTCATGTACTCAATCGGTCTCAACTTCTTCCCATCCTACTGAGCCAGCACTGCGCCAATATCATATTGGCTTGCGTCAGTGGTCACTATAAATGGCTTCTGAGGATCGGGAACCATGAGAACTTCATGATTCATGAGTGCATGCTTCAATCGCTTGAAAGCACCCTCGCACTCATCACTCCAGTCCCACGGCGTGTCAAGTCGAGTTAGATCCGTCAAAGGAGAGGCGACTGTAGAATAGTTCTTTACGAAGTTCCTATAGTAGCCGCACATTCCTAAGAAAGATCTGACCTCAGTGACAGTCTGAGGTCGTGGCCAGTCTCGAATACTAGCCACCTTCGCATCTTCCGACCTAATCCCTTCCGCGGATACTTCATGACCCAAGTATAATATCTTAGTGCGACCAAACTCACACTTCTCAAGGTTGACCTTGTACTTGTGTTGTCGCAGGAGTGAAAGTACAATCTCAATGTGTTGTGCATGCTCCTCGATAGACTTACTAATGATCAGAATGTCATCAAGGCAAACCACGACAAACTTATCTAAGTGGTCATGGAAGATCCAATTCATGGTGTGCTGGAATGTTCCCGACACATTGCAAAGACCAAAGGGCATCACTAGAAACTCATACAGACCATATCGAGTCTGAAAAGTTGTCTTTGTTGGTCCTCAGGTCTTATAGCGATCTGATGATAGCCGGATTTCAAGTCTATCTTGCTATAGTACTTGCATCCCTGCACCCTATCCAGTAGGTCGTCTATGCGGGGTAGAGGCTCTGCGTTCTTCACGATGATGGCATTGAGGCCTCTATAATCAATGCACATCCTTAACGTACCCCCCTTCTTTGGTACGAATAATACTGGAGATTCGTAAGGGGAAGTACTAGGTCGGATCCATCCCTTCTCTGTCAGCTCTTTGAGTTGTCGCCGAAGTTCATCTAACTCGGCGGGAGCCATCCTATAGATCCTTCCCTTTGGGGTTTTGGTCCCTGGAATGATTTCTATAGCGTGGACAACTTCCCTTTCTACAACTCTTGTAGGCTCTTCGAACAGATCAGGGAACTTAGCAACGACGCGTTCTATCTCTGGGGGTGTTTTAACGGCCTCCCTTTTCTCAGAGACATACACAAGGTACATACCCTCCTCTTGGTTCTGTTTGTAATAGTTGTAAAACGCTGATGCGCACAAGCAGCCATAGGTATCTATTATGCTACAAGCTTTGAACTTAGTCAATCTGACTGTCCTGCCATCGGACAACTTATGCTTTAGCACCTTCTTATCCCAGTCGAACTGGGGCTTAGAAACCTCAAGGTAGTACATGCCTAACAACATGTTGAATGGTAAGTCGTCGCTAACCAAGAACGAAATCTTATGATTAAGTTTTCCTCCTCCATAGGAGAAGGTACAGACTACGTCCTTGATATAGTCTGTGACTATCATGCGCTCCTTGTTGGCCAAAGTAGATGCTACAGGTCTACTAAGGTGTCGTACTCGGTCCTGTAGGTGCAGCCTTTCCAAACAGTCGTGACTTATGTAATTCTGGGTGGAGCCTATGTCTATGAAGGCACCACATTTGCGGCCTCCTACATAGACTTCCACCACGAAATGTTCCCCTCTAGGACCTGTCTGCCACCCAAGATTCGCGAGGGTCCTTGTTCGACCACTCACTTTCCAGATCTTCTAAGGCTTCAGACACATCTAACGTACATAGCATAGTTTGGTCTAGATGAGTCTGTGGGGTGACAAAAGAGTCATTAGCTATGGCCTTCTCATGAAGTGGGGAGGGTATCAGACCCACTTCAACTTGAGTAGAAGCAGCTAAAACTTCCACCGGCCTCACATGTTTCCCGAGCTAGAAGCCTGGGAAGAAGATGCCCCCATCTTAGGAGGTATCTTCTGCGTGACCTTTGCGTTCTGGCACTTGTACTGGGTGTGTCCGTATTCACCATAGTTTATACAAGCGCCACGCACTCGGCGGTCCCGCCACACGTCTTGATCAAGACCTGCCTTAACCCAATCAGCCACTTTGGTCTGATTGGAGGCGGCCTTCCCTTGACTCTTTGGATGGCCCTTCCCTCGGCCACCCGCCTTAGCCTTGATTATTGCGGCGAGGGTGCTACCCTCAGCGATCTCCTCGCCGTCATACTCTGAACCGTCCAGCAGGTCTGTGAGCTCATCAATTTCTGTTTGAGTCCCATCGGACTCAACCATCATCAACTTCGCCCCCTTCTTCTTCCATTCCTGCGGACTCTTCTTCTTCCTCGCATCATTCTGAGAGGGTTGAGCATTTCCTAGTGTAGCCTCTAAGTCTAAGGTTTTTCTAGACAATGTCTCAAACGAATGGTACTCGAGGCGAGCCTCGCTGACCAGCAAGTTCCTGAGGTTCTCTGGAAGACATCTAACAAACGTAGTCAATAGGAACTGGTCACTGTAGTTGATGCCTGGAACGACGATGAGGCTCTTTATGGTAGTCGTAAGCTCTCTGAATGACTTAAACTTTCTTTGATCTAGTCTGTTTATCGCATCAGTGGCTATTTGTGCCTGCTGAGGATTGTGCCAGCGAGCTTCTACCATCTCAAAGAACTGGTCTAACGTAATAGACCGAGCCCAGTCTGCCATACGTCGTCCATACCCGGCCTTTGCAACTATACCATCTAGCCATTTGGCTGCCTTACCCTCGAGGTAAGATGCAACAGTAACCACTTCGTCCTCTGGCAAGGTCCTCTTCGCCTTCACCCAAACCGGAACTGTTCTCAACCAAGTGTTGAGTTCTTCGTCCTTCCTCTCGCCTGAGAAGGCAAGAGGCGGTTTCATTGGGGTCTTAGGGTACCATTGACCATGCGGCTGTCCCTGTTGAGGAACAGGTTGTTGCGGTGGTGTAGCACCCACCGCTGGACCCGAAGAAGAAGAATCAACAGTCTGTGCAGCTGCTGCAGACGTGCCACTTGGTTGTGTGCCAGCTTGTACGGGAAAGGGGCCAGACATCGCCGTTAACGACAACGACGACAATGCTGGTGGCCGAAATCCTGGCCTTTGCAAAATGTCCAGGATATGGTCTAGGGTGCTCTGCATGAAGTCCATCGGCTGTCCGCGTGCGCATGCAGCGACAACATATTGTTCTTCAAGACTTTCATTTGGTTAGACATAACTGACTCATCCAAACCCTCTAACTCAACTTTGTCCGCCTCTAACGTTTCAAGCCTGGCTGCTCTTCGTTCGATCTCGTTTTCTCTGTCGGTTGCTTGTTTCAGTTCCCTTTCTAACTTCAGGCGGATCCTCTCGACCTGTTGGAGCTCTAAGAGCTCCCTACCGCGTGGGGTCAACGGGCTAAACTGCGAGCCCGCCATTTGACTTGTGGACTGACTAGAACTTACTGCCCCGGAAGTACCCTGAGGCATTCCCAACAGGGTCCCATTGGTCCCTGACGAGGACGCAGAAGAGGATGCAGATGATGACGCAGCAGAGCTTGTGGCGTTAGCCATTGCTACTGCTCTGGCTGCGGCTGCCTGCTCTCTAGCTGTTGCGTTTGCTGCTGCTATCCCCGCTGCTAGCGCCCGGGCTCTGCGTTCGGCACAAATCCGTCGTTCGTCTTCCGGTTGTAAGGCCTGATACACGTGCGGGACCCTAAGTGCTCCCGAACGTGTAAGTCTCACATTGTCATCTCTACCCTCAGCGGTGTCTGACCCACTCATCAGTTAGGCAGACAGTATCTGCACTACAACCCCCTGTTGGAGTCCTACCGCAGCATGTGTCTGACCGGCACTTAATTTTCTAAAAATAGTTGTGTCCGGCAGGTCCCCGACTTTACCGATCAAGTGGCCACCTACAACATTCACAACAGATTGTCAACATAGTCTAGATGTATCTTGATTGGTTCACTTACAGCGGCACTAGATAGAACTGGTTATGGTAGTATACAATAGTCCTACTCTAATCTGTCTGTGAGGTGTTAGCAGTCTGTCAACCAACTAATCAAAAATACAAAAGACCATGTTGCAGATGTATGATGAGTGGGTATGGTTGTGTTTCCAGTTGAGCATCAATTAGAACCTACCCTTCCCCTCAATCCAACATACCGGTAAGCATCAATGAGCAGCGGTGTCATTCGTGTGCAATGTCGGCCCACCCCTGTGCCCAAGTCGTTGCCGAGCAAGCCAGCCAGTCCACTCTTATTTACCCTTGTACGGAACGAGCCTTACACCCGGTTGATCTGGCTGATCAGGAGGAATATTAAGATCGCCCCCATCTCTTCAGGAATTATTTAACGTCGCAGTCAGGACGACGATCACAACCAGAATCAACCAAGTCCCCAACCATAAATGTTTATAGACGGTCTGGTAAGCGTCTCATAAAAGGTTGGCACACCCGGCAGGACTTCTATTCAGCGCAGCAAGTGCCAAAATGGACAGCAGCCATCGCATGTGTGACCTACTCCCATTGGGTTGGCATGGTGACCGTGACCCAGTGCTTCGACCAGGGCCCTTCAGAGGCACCGCCCTTTCTCCTTCCAGATGCTTT